CACTATGCTACCAGAGCTCCTAGCATATATATATGTATATAATCTCCAAAAACCAAACTCACAGCTGTCAAGTCAGATCCAACTCATAGTGACCCCTCCTTGGGTTTCAGAGGTGGTATCACTATGGAAACAGATTACCCAATCTTCCTTCCAAGGGTGGCTGGTGATCAAGTGCCTATCTATCTATCTATCTATCTATCATCTATCTGGTTGCATAGTGGGTAAGGCATTTGGCTGCTAACCAGAAGGTCGGTGGTTCAAACCTACCAGCTGTTCTGCAGGAGGAAGATGAGGCAATCTACTTTCATAAAGAAAAGATTTGCAGCCCTGGAAACCCAATGGGGGTCACTATGAGTTGGAATCAACTTGATGACAGAGGGTTTGGGATATACATATATATTTGTTGTTGTTGTTGTTATGTGCTGTTGAGTCGGACCCGACCCATAGCGACCCCTCCTTGGGTTTCTGAGGCAGTATCACTACAGAAGTAGATTGCCCCATCTTCCTTCCGAATATATATATATATACACACACACACAATTTTTCTGTAGAAAAAAAAGATCACACACTGAAATGTCACATAGCAAAGTTTAATCCATTGTAGACCATTGATACACTAACATGTGCTGCCAGATCAAGAAATTTTGTACAAACCTCTTGCCAGGTCTGTGCATTTAAATGCACTTCTTATAAATGCATCATTGTATAGGAAGGTCTATACTCTGCCCTACCCTTTCTAAACTCAAGCCCACCCTTGTCCATTCATGTACAATTATACAAGTGAGTATACCTTGACAGCCCATTTTCACCACATTTAAATATATAGCAAGTTCCAGGCATGCTAGTCACACATATTCTAGTCATGGTATAATGGTCAGGTAGGTAACAATGAGTGAATGAAAAAACTCACCAGGAAGATATTAATAGCGATTCAAGTTGGAACAAATATTTCCTACTACTCCTCTTTCAAGTTTCTAGATTAAGTTTAACTGGAGAATATTTGAGATTGAAAGATGAGATGTTTTACATTTTTTTAATAATTTATTATTACTTACCCATATTAATCAGATTTTTTCTCAGTACTGTGCAAACAGAACGAAACAAAGGAATGAACAGACTGCTGAGGCTGATAAAGGGCTGCAAACATCACTCATGACTCCCACCACGACAGCACACATTTGTGTGCTGTCTTAATTCTGTAGTGCTGCTATAACAGAAATGCTATGAGTGGCTTTAACAAACAGAAATTTCTTCTCTCACAGTTTAGGAAGCTAGAAGTCCAAACTCAGGACACCAGCTCTAGGGAAAGACTTTCTCCCTCGGTCAGCTGTGGAGGAAGGTCCTTATCTCCTTTCAACATCTGTGGGCCCTACATTCCTTAGAGATCTACATGTGTCTTGGCATCAGTCTTCCCTTGCATCTAGGAGGTTTTCAGCTCAGGGAACCCTGGCCCAGGCTCTGCTTTTAGTTCTTCTTCCTTGTTTATAGTAGATATCTCTCTCTCTGCTCACTTCTTTCTCTTTTTATCAGCCTTGGAAACCCTATGGGGCAGTTCTACTCTGTCCTATAGGGATGCTATGGGACAGAATTGACTTGATAGCAACTGAGTTTTTTTTTTCCCCTTAAATAAAGAAAATGAGTTTAAGTATAGATGGCCCCTCTGAAGTAAATTAAAATGTAACCAATTTTCAAAGTTATACATTAATTTTTATAATATTTCATTCAAAACAGCTATATACACTACATATTTCACAATTTCCTTTGTGAGATATAGCAGAAAGACAGGATTCAAAGTCATTTTACTACTATTTGGAAGGAAATTCTTTCTTCAGGTCATTACTATCATGTACAACCACCTCACTAGTGCTATGAGGAATAAAAGGAATCAATGAAATAGTGTATACGAATGTAGCAAACTTCTATATAAATGATGGTTAATGTTGCTATTCTTAGGTTATATTTCTCTGCCTTGGACATCATGGTCTTGGTTTCATAGAACTCTTAAACAAGCAATCATTGTAAAACTATTTTGAAGAGTTTGAAGGAGTCATACCAGAAGCAATTAACATTCAAACTTGTAGGCCTTTCTAAGTCATTCCAATGATATATTATGCAAAGGGTAGATGTTAGTTATATATTATCAATAGTTATCAATTATCAATATGTTGACTATCACAGTATGTCATTCGTTATAAATGAAATGTGACAATATATAGGTAACAGTAGTTTGAAAGGTCTTCTAGAAGTTCCTAATGTATTTTTAAATTATACTGCTAATACCAAACGCTTACAAGATGTTTTATGATTACACTACAGCAAGAAATTCTTCACTGAGACAAAGACATGCTAAAAGGCAAGTAAATTACTATAATTAAATGTATTTAACTTAGTGGTATTTTTCTTAGAACAAAAAGAGCTGAGGCACATCCACTGCAGTCTGACACTCTGTCTCCTCTGTTACTGACTGGAATCAAATTTTTAGAATTCCCATGATCTTGAAGGATATGTGTGTTTAAGTTTCAGGAGGTTTTTGTTTTTCTCTTGGCCACTAGATTTTTCAGGAAAAATTCACCTGTTTAGGAAAAATGAAAACATAATGTTACTTTTAAGTAAATTAATTCTAATATCAATTTAAGATAAATAATAGTAAGGGAGCTCTGGTAGCATAGTGGCTAAGGCACTTGACTGCTAACCAGAAGGCTGGCGGTTCAAACCCACCAGCCACTCCTCGGAAGGAAGGTTGGGCAATCCTACTTCCGTAGTGATACTGCCTCGGAAACCCAAGGAGGGGTCGCTGTGAGTCAGGGCTGACTCGACGGCACATAACAACAACAACAACAAATAGTAAGACCACTATTTCAAATTAGACTTCAGTGCTTCTAATCCACTTTCAGGTTTACCACCTACATCTGTTCTTAAGACTTTTGTACTTATTTTCCTCAAATTCCAAAGGCAATATTTCTCTAAACACATATCCCCTGTATCTTTGGCCCTTTTCCCAACAAGGAAGATTAGTCTTTTTATTATTATTATTATTTAAATTCTTATCACTACAGTCTCTACAATTATTCTTTCTAGTAACCAAGTATTATAAAGGGTGACCCTGTTGTGTCTGCTGGTCTGCTGCTGTGTATTCATTCCACTTTATGTGCACTATCTTATTCCTCAGCACTGACAAAAGTATTGCTGTTGGCAAAATTCATTTCAGAGAGCAATTCTGCTACATTATTAGCCTGGATCTAATGTATATAAAACAGACCTTGCTGCAGTTGAGCAGACTCGCCCAATGGAATCTCTTCAGCTTATTCCCCTCTAGGGAAGCCAGAGCGCTTCATTTATAATGGACTTTCCCCGACCCCCTAAGTTGTGCCTGTGCAATAAGAAGCCAGCTGCTTAGAGGGGCACATTAACTTTCTCAGGTCATTAGGGTTCCATTTAGTCTATCACTGTTGCAGCATGGCTTAATGCTTACTGGTAGAGCTTGGCACTGGAGGCCTGATTTTATGAGGAGTCTGATGAACTCCTCTTTGTCATCTTACACATATGAGTAGAAGTGTGATGACCAAATCTTTGTGAAATCACCAAGTATCTCAAGGCTCATAACCTAGTCAAGTAATGAGAGCATTATCAGCATCCATGCTGCTCCACACTTCATCTAAATCTTGTAGTAGAACCAACATTTTCACACTCTAATCCATCATCTGAGTTTAATGCTCCAAGTATCAGAATTCTATTTTTTACTAGTAACTTAAAAAAACTTAAAAAGTTCTCAATTCACTTAATCATAAATGTTAAACATTTTCCTTAAAATAAATAAAATTCCTTTCAAATAGTATTAGTTTACTTGAAGCAGTCTATAAGCTGATAATGGTTCTATCCTTTATTTGCTTTTAAGTCTGCCAGCAATAGTGCTTGAAAATAAAT